TTTTTTTTTTTTTTTTTTTTTTTTTTTTTTTTTTTTTTTTTTTTTTTTTTTTTTGTAAAAAAAGCGACCTCACCTTTTCGAACTTGTCGAGGAGGAAGCGCTCGGGCACGGGAAAGTTGAAGGGGTCCTTGCTGCTGTACTCGCGCACTTTGCGCGTGAACTCCTCGTAATTTTGCGTGGGCGGCGTCGATGCCACGACCATCAGGGAACGGGCGCGCTTCAGGAAATTCCAGTCCTTCGGGTCTTGGCAGTTTTGCAAGTTGTCGTAGTGCTCGGGCTCTGCGGACACGATCAAAGATTGTTTGATTTTAGTGTAAGTCGCGCGACTTTGGCTCTTGGAATTCATATAGATTAGTTCGCAAGTACGATTAGCGGTTGGAAGGAATATTTTCACAATTTTCACGAAAAGCAAACAATGATGAATATTCAATTTTTGTGGGCAGATAATCAAATCGTTTGTGTATATTACGTTCTTGACTTGGGCATAATTATTTTACATATATTCCTCAATCCTTGCAAGTACAATTTTTTTCCAAAAATACAAAAGACCGCTTTTGCTGCAGAAAACAATTTTTTTTTTCTGACTTTTGTAACAAAATATAATACAACAAAAATTTTTTTCAGCAAAAAAAAAAATGTACTATAATGAAATAATATACTTTAATAGTAGTTTTATTAGTATAAATAATAGTTTTTCTTAATCCAACGTTAAAAGTAGCGATAAAATAAAAAAATTGTATTCCATTAAAAAAAGAAAATTACATCGATACCTATATAAATCGTAAAAACGCAAAATTGATAGGAAAAAAATGACAAGTGATTTCTCGGTTGTTTTACCCATAAAAACGTATACTAACTCCATAAGTACTTCATTGCTTCCTTTGCCGTATAGGTCATCGTGTCGATGTATATGACCATGTACTGGCCGTTATCGAACAGCCTCTGATTTTGCATGGCGTTCATGAGCTCTACCAGTGATATCGGAGTCCCAAGAAATATGTAAACTGCAAAAAAAAAAAAAAAATTAAATTTTTTTCCTTCCTTTGACACAATAATTTATCGATCAAGCACGTATAGTACATGCATTATCCGCATCTTTCAAATACACGAAGTACACCGAGATTGAGATCCATCGTGCACAAACATGCATACATATGCATACATGTATAATTAAGAAGTAGCGGTTGGTGAAAAAAAGAAGGAAAATCATTGTCAAGTACGTGCAATTACAATTAGCATTACACGTGAGATTATGTCAGATCGGATGTGCCCGTACAAAGCGGAAGATTTATAGCCTCGGATCTTTATGAAAAAAAAAAAAAAAAAAAAAGTACAACTTGACCTCGAGGATTCCCGTGATCCTCTGCCGTGAGAGAAAAGGGGGGTCTTACTGCGCGTGATGTTTTTGGTGTCCTGAACGAGACTGAACCACGCGCCACCCTGACAACAGGGCAACCGATCCTCGCAGCATATGTGCCGATCCTCGAGACTGATGAACCGATTGATGGTGAGATTGTGCTTGGGCGCCTGGTTCTGCAGCGACTTGGCGACCGTAGACCACTGCTTCTCCGCCACAATGATGAACTTGTTCCAATTGTAGTGCAACAGCAGGGCTATCACAGATTTCGTCACCTGCGTGTCCGGTGGCTCGGTCCGCGCGAACGTGTTCACCTTCGAGGCCTCGTTGTCCGAGCATTTCTGCAAAGTAACAGACGCATGAGTTGAAGGGCCACTCGTACGTATTTTTTGGTCATCGTGTGGGACATGGGATTTTTCACAATTTTGCGGCGCAGCTCTTCTCCATCCCAAGTAAACTCTATTCTCCGGTAGAAAAATTAAACTCTCGGGGCACAAAAAAAAGTTTAAGCATTATTTACCGCACCTCTGTATGTACGTAAGAGCATCTCAGCAGCCGAAAGAACCGCTACGCCACTCGGCACCCGAACAGAGTTCCTCCTCTTTTTTTTTCTTTGTTCCTCGATGTATTATCATGTACGCACATTGTCGCAGGAACGGAGGAGGGGGGACGCAACGCGTGGGCAAAATACATGTGTATACATATAACGTATATATATACGCGCCGGTATAATTTTTTTGCGAGCACGTCTCTTTTTCTCGCCGCTGGATGCGAAAGAGTGCCGTAATCGTCGCGAGCTCATCGCTCCACGTGTGGAGCTATATTTAGAACGGAGGAAAGAGAGAATACGCGGGTATACATACGGACGCGCGTCAGCAAAAAAAAAAAAAAAAAAAAAAAAAAAAAATAAAGTGCAAAAGATAAAGAACCCGACGGGCAATAACACGTATATATACGGAGCGCCGGCAAAGATCCTTTGTGCGGCTCTCGTCGCGTGGGTCTTGCNAAAAAAAAAAAAAAAAAAAAAAAAAAAAAAAAAAAAAAAAAAAAAAAGCTACGGCCATCCCCAGAGCACCGCACGTCCGCAATATTATATACATTAGACTATGCTCTCGCGCTCGGACTGCACGTCGTACCCGGGGATGACTGCGCGCCTCAGCGAGACGTTACTGCTGCGCAGCCCGTTGCCGTTGAACAGATTCGCCAGCCAGCTGCGTATCGAGTTCCGCGCCGAGCTCTTCTTGTCCGCGAGGCCGGCCACGTTCACGCAGCCGACGCCGCCCACCCCGACGACAGCGCCCCCACCGAAATGGCCGCTGCCGTTGTTGCTGCCGGTGACCACGACCTGGTCGAGCGATCTCCACCTCTTGACCGGCACGAGGCAGTTGTCGCCCGCCAGGAGCGGCGTCTCCGAGAAGTCCTCGTGCTCGTGCGCCGTCGAGTTGTTGCGGTCCTCCGCCACCGCCAGGGGGAGTATCAGGTTGCCGTTCGGGTGGTTGTTGTTCAACAGCTTGTGCGACGCGCGCGGGCTCGGGCTCGTCAGGTCTATCATCTCCTCAACCTTGGAATTGCGGCGGGTCGACGTCGTGCACTTCTCGCAGTCCTCCAGCGAACGGAAGCTCGCTCGGCGCGGCTGATAACTTATCACCGAGCTCGTCATCAGCTGAGCGGCATCGAAGCTGCTGCTGCTGCCACCTGTGTTGTTGTTATTGTTGTTTTTGTTGTTGTTGTTGTTGTTGGAGCCAATCATCGCCTCCGCGGGGAACGGATCGAGAGAGTGAGACTCGCGCATCAGCAGCTGATGCAGATTGTTGTGGTGGTTGCCCAGATCGTCACCCGCTGATGAAGAGGTCGCGCCCAGCGCCGACATCATCTTTGCGTTCTTCCGGAACCTCGGACTGCTGGATTGGTTCAGGCCGTTCCTGCGGGTATAGATAAATTTGCGTTCATGATTTTGGTTTAGAGTATATGTTACCGTGAGCCGATGTATAAACAACGGGGTTATAATATACGCACTTGTCCAATTTGAGGAACAGATCGTCGAGTGCGAGCTTGATGTTGGCGGCCCTGCAGTCGGCGTCCTCGCGCACGATCGCGTTGTCGAGCGTCGTCTTGGAGGCAGCCTCGGTCAGGTAGAGGGGCGTCCGTTCGAGCCGGCGCGCGAGCAAGGAAGTGCGCATCTGCAGTGGACTCGAGTTGCCGCATTGCGAGGCCGAATCGCCGGCATCGGCCGGCCTCGGCACGCTTGACTGACGCCGGCTGCCGGCTCCCAGGCCGGCCAACAGGGAGGCTTGCCGCGAGTCCGGATTCAGCTTGGGACTCCTGCGCGGCCGGCAGAACAGAGGTGGCAGGTCGTTTATGTTCACCTGTGGGATTTCGTTCAATGTGCAACGATTAATACCCGTCGGCAGTTAATATTATGTAAAAACGAGTCGAGCACCTCTCTCTTTTGTATGGCCTTCTCCGTCGCGCCGGTCAGCCAGTAGGTGTTGACCTCGCCCTTGCCCTTCATCTTGACCAGACCTCGTTCCTCGACGATGTAGCCGCCGATTTTGTCGAGCGCGTCCTTGCACTGGGCGCTTATGTGTATCTTTAGCGGCTCGCCGTTGGACTCCATTCGCGATGCCGTGTTGACGGTGTCGCCGAACAGACAATACCTGGGCATCGTCAGACCAACCACGCCGGCTACGACGGGTCCTAACGACATCACAAACATTCAAATATCGAATCTGTCGGAGCGTTTGTACTCGACAATTTTCTTTCTTACTCACCCGTGTGGATTCCGATCCTCAGTTTGAGCGTTTCGTTGGGCCGGTGAGCTATCGTGTGGTGCTTGACGGCGTTCAACAGCTCCAGGGACATGGACGCGATTTCCCCGGCGTGCCTGTTGCCGTTTTTGATCGGCAGCCCGGAAACCTGGAGCGAAACCGACAAGCCGTGACAATTTTATGACCAAAGGTATCTCTCGCAATCGGCTACTTACCACCATGTAAGCGTCCCCTATGGTTTCTACTTTGTAGACCTCGTAACCCTTGATGATCCGATCGAACAGAGTGTAGAGGTCGTTGAGGAAATTGACCACCTGCGAGTAACGAGAAGCAAGTCAAGTTTCAGCGAACATGTTTTTCAAGCGCGAAAATTTACCTGAAACGGCGTGCTCTCGGCCGACATTGCTGTAAAACCAACGATGTCGCTGAAGTATATGGTAACCAGGTCGAAGGCTTCGGGCTCCACGCCAGTCCCGTTCGTCAGGCAGTTGGCAACGGGTCTAGGATACGGAGAGTAAACAATTAACTCGTTATTAAGCATAGCTCGAGCGTTTTGCGGACATTTGCCACTAATTGGCCACCTTTGCTAGGAAAAAATCATCATTTACTGTCGTTGGAAGTAATACTACTTTCATCGTCCGAACATTATAGCTAACGCAGAAACAAAGTGAACTTGAACTACTATCCAGTAAATGGTAATATTCCATGTTAACCTAATGTTACAGTGTACAGGGCCATTTATTGGGTCACGCAAAAACTGAGGAAAATGATTAACTTATGGTTCCGATTGAAGTTATGGCCATTTGCTGATATACGTTTACCAATTTACAGTTGTAATCATATACCAGAGAAAAAAAAAAAAAAAAAAAAAAAAAAAAAAAAAAAAAAAAAAAAAAAA